GACAGAATACTGAAATCTTTCAAAGTTTTTGAGGTACACAAAAGTGACAGTCATGGAACTAAGGGTATGTTCTCCACCCTTTAAGGCCAGATTCACATTTATGTGGTACCACACACAATGCCTCCATTAAGGTGGCATTCATTTTGAATAGTACACCAACTGGGATTTTAAAGGATGGGCTACATTAACATAGCACACCATAACCCATTGTAATGTGTTAAGCCCAAATGTTTTAAACATTTCCAAATACTAGAAAATCACATTAGCTAGATCGGTTTTAAAATCTCAGCGGCATACTGATTTGCTCCATAGCACCAACTGAAAAGTAAAGTTATAGGAAGCAAATTAAGCAATGGTTTGATACAATCTCCTGTCTACAATTTTTAAAAATTAAGATATAAATATAAACTTAGTGGAACTAGACCCATCAATTTATCTGTCTCTCAAAACCATTACTTTCAAGGCAGCGTGCTTATTTACATAGTATTTGAGGTTGAATAAAGACATTAGTCCATCAAGTCCAACCTATTAGGATCTCATTCTAGGAGTACCTGTACAGATTTCCGCTCTTTCAACCCCTCAAATTGCTGGTATCGTAGCTGATCACATGTGCATCAACATGGCAACTGCAAACCCAATAGAGGCTAAGATGGCTCCTTCCTGTGATAGGAGGTTGCAGTTCTCCTTTAAGAAAACCATTCACTCCTTATAAAAGTTAAACTGTGATTGAAAAAAAAAAAAAAAAAAAACAGCAAAAGATAAAATGTGAGCATGCATTCCCGAGCCTTATTTTAGATATATTTATCATTATATATTAAAGTATTTAGAGTACTGATCTTCAGTATATTTCACCATCATTTTAATCTTATGCACACAAGACAAGCAAAGCCAGTCTCTTGACTGCCCAGATTACAGCGTTAACAGGTTCATCTCCACAGTATTATGTGACATCATTTACACTCTTCCTACTATTATTATGTGACATCATTTACACTCTCCCAACTTGGCGCTGGGCAACATGAATCTATAATTTTTTTTAAATTCTAACATTATGGAACAAAAAACACCACCTACTTTTCAGGGTTTAAAATAAACAATTCCTACAAATTAAGAAATCAAAGAATTTATCAAGTTCACCACAAATGAGAAAAAAAAAACTACTGTATACAGCCGGTGTCTTAAAATGCCTAATTCCATTACAATTTAAGAAAAACTACAATATATTATGGTGTCCGCAAGCATTTACTACAAGGTAGGTATAAGATTCAGGTTCAGGTCCAACATGGGTTTGAGGAGAACCTAGTCTGTTCACTGTTCATGGACCCACAGCACTAATGTGCCAGTTCGCCTTCCCGAATACTGTAAAAACAGCGCTGGGGATCCTGGTTGCTGTCATTGATCAAATATGGTCATGACCCTACTTGGTCAATGACATCACCCGGGGGTTCCCTGGCACTGTGTTGATATTGACACAGTGCTTGGCATCTATCCCTTTGTGACAGGATTGCAAAGTGTACACATCGGTGGGCATGGGGATGTCATGATACAAAATGGATTTACATAACTGGACGCTGTAACTGACCATGTATTTACTATGCTGGACATTATGGAGCTACAAATATTACGGAGCTACAAAAGTGCTTCCAGCTGGCCAGCTCAGTACGCCGTACGGACCTGGCATTTACAGTTCTACTATAAGCTGATGGTCTGATGGTTTTAAAAAATACCGGGCGCCCCCCCCCCCCC